AACTAAACAAAGATGACAGAAACGATAAAACTCACAGATGGCCAGAGGAAGGATCTGAGTAAAGAGGAAGCTGGTAAGGAGCGGACCTTGTCGTCACCTACCGAACTCACTTTACTTAGATCCTTCAACAAAATGCCCAAAAGCAAAAGGAAAAGCACACAAACTAACAACTCACACACACAAACTAACCCTGTTCTATAACTATTTGAGAAATGACAACAAGATGCATGAGATGTCAAGCTTTTGCGTGGTGAAGACTTGAATCTTGGTGAGTATAAAGAGAGTTGTAGGAGGATGGATCAAGTACAAGATCTTACTGTAGTAAGGGAATAATTAGTCAATGCAACATATTTGTAATTGCTTGTAAACTTGGACTTCGGTAGTGTTAAAAGGTTAAAATTGTGGTCGTGTGGATGGTATGTCTTTGATCTTTGCAAATATCTAAACTCCATACCCTGTGTTATGTGTTGCAAGTATATAGCGTGTGGGGGTAAACAGCCGTATGATCAAAGATACAAAAAAACGAAAATAAATCGACTATTCAATCTCCGTATTATATCGCCACCTTACTTTAGGCACGTTAATAGAAAATGGACTAGGCTGAACTATTTGGACGCAATTGACTCGAAAGAAAGAATCAATTTATTTGAATCATTGCTCCAATTATATTTGACCATATTTCCGTCCAAAGTTATCTTTAATGTGAGATTAAATCAAATCCTACATTTGCTATATCAGACCCTACCTTAAGTCTATTTTAAACATACCTTGATTCTATTTTAAAATAGAAACTGCGATAACAATAAACTTAACAAAAATTAAGGATTAAAAAGCTCTAAAATGTGTCACGGAGATTTTTTTTGGAAAATATTTTCACGTTAATTTGCATAATAGAATGTATTAAAGTACAAATTTAAAGATTTTAGGGTATATAAGTACTACTAAAAACAAATAAAGGTATATAATTGCGCAGAAGGGGAAACTATTAAGTATTTAAGTGCTAATTAGCCAAATCCTAAAGCGCACGCAAAACGCCCCACAAGCACAGCGGCCCAACTCTAATCCCGGATCTTTTGCTCATAGAAGGGATCCGACCCGAACCCGACCCATTTATACCCGAATCAGAATCCTAACCCGAATCCGAATCCAAACATTCCGTCCAAATCCGTTAATAGCCCTAAAGAACTCTTCTTCCTCAAAAACCTCTCCTTTTTTCCCCTGAAAAAGTATGAAGCGAAGTTACGATGAACAATCCTTTGGCCCACCTCAATCCAAGCAAAGATTGAACTCCTACGGTAAAAATTATCGATGCCCACTTGATTCCTCGCCTTAAAACTTCCATTTCTTCTATCAAAGTTTCATCTTTTATATGCTCAAATTGAGGTTTTGTTTTGCTTCTGTAACCTAAATTAGATTGTAACTGCAAAATTTTTGTTCATTTGAGTAATTGGGTTGGTTAATGATTGGCCCTTATGTTTATTTTTCTTGTATTACATTGAAAATTTACTTGATCCAAAAGTTTGTTTTGTTAAAGAATCTTCTTTTGTTAATGATGAGAGGAAATTGGGTTTTTCAAAAAGATGCCGCTTTACCTACTTTCACTTGTTTTTTGAAGTAGAAGTTCATTTAAGACCCATTTTGTTGCTGGTTAGAAATTGTCTTTAAAAGAGGTTTTTTGAACTTAGATAATTTCAACATTGATTTTTAGGTGATTCATATAGCATAGACGATGAGAGCTCTAGGAATGCGAGGAAGGTTGCAGACCATTACAGTGCGAGGTCAAACCAGTCACTTGAGGAGCGCGAAGCCAGCCCAATTATCCATCTCAAGAAGCTCAATAACTGGGTATGATGTAATTAGGATCTATTGTAAATTTGAGAAATGGGTGTTTAATTTCTTCGCATTAAGTCGGTGCTCAAATGCAGTGATAGTTAGCCTTCACTAGATTCGGTTTGGTGTTTAGCTGATAGTTCTGTAACCTATATAACCACTTGGGTAGGAGTAATGAGTATGGAACTGTCTTTCTTTGTTTTGTTCTCAAAATTGCCAGCCAGTTATGTTGTTTGATAAACTTTTAATTGTAAGTCGACCACTGATGTGCTTCGTAACATTTAACAGACTTCAATATTTGGTTCACAGTGTTTCTTTCAGCTCTTGTTGAAGCTTTTAATTATTTCAGACTGATGTCAATTTTCTTATTTGCATAGCTATTACTTTTTAGATTGTTTCATCAACCTAAATTTTGATGCCACGAATGCACTGTGTAAGATATTAAATAAAAAGTGGTTCTTAGAATCCTTAAGAATGCTTATTGGAGGGTTCTTCAAGTTTAGCAACGTCTCAAAGTTGAGAAACTACATTTATAATGTATCGGTTTCTTTTAAGTTTCAACATCTACTAGCACATACATAAACCTAGATTATAACAATTCAGCCTGTTTAGACATCCATGAACAGATTAGTGAATCCTTCTTCACTAATTATTCTCATTTAGTTCATTAGCATTTAATAGTTATTGTATCACAAGAATATATATATATATATATATATATATGTATGTATGTATGTATGTATGTATATGTGTGTGTGTATATATGTATATGTATATATACATGTATATATATACATATACATATACACACACACACACATATAAAAACCTAGAGAACTAAAAACCAATCCTAACCCTCCAATCTATCTAATCCAATGGCCTACATTTCGATGGCAGAATTGTAAATATAGATAAATTTAATACACATCATTAATGTGAAAAGGGTAAAATTGGAACAATTAATTACATAGTTCTCCATTTCCCCATGCAACTCTCTCTCTCTCTTACATAGTTCTCCATTTCCCCATGCAACTCTCTCTCTCTCCAAAATCACAGCAGCTCTTTCCTCTCACGTTCTCCTCTCTCTCTCTCCTCCATTTCCCAAAAGCTTGAACCAGCCCCCTCTCTCTTCCTCTCTCTCACCACCACAAACACCACTAACTCCTCACCGAGCTCCTCCAACTCCACTGCCCCTGAGCTCCCTCCGACGAACCGAAGCCGCTCTGACGAACCGAAGACGCTCCCTCAGACCCGACGCCGTCAACCTCCTCTCCATCTCCTTCGCCACCTTCAAACAACCCAGATCCGAGCTCCTCCCATCCAAGCTTTCGCTGGAGTGAATCTGGATTCACTCCAGTGAATCTGGATTCACTCCATTGAATCTGGATTATATTGAAGCTCGATTCATTGGAGTGAATCCAGATTCACTGAATTGAATCCAGATTTAGTGAACTGAAACTCGTTATCAAACAATAGCAAATCTACAAAAATAAAAAACAAAAAGGAATAAGAAACTTATGGTAAAAAACAAGCTATAAAATTTTAAAACATGATAAGATTTCACATTTTACAGCAAAAAGTTACGATTTTTATGGTAAAAAACAAACACCTCACATAACTGAATCTGGATTCACTGCAGTGAATCTAGATTCACTCATGCGTTTATTTCTTCAAAATTACAGCACATGCATTTATTTCTTCAACAATTCATTAAAAACCATCCTAACCATCCAAGCTTTCGCTGGAGTGAATCTGGATTCACTCCAGTGAATCCGGATTATATTAAAGAATAAGAAACTTATGGTAAAAAACAAGCTATAAAATTTTAAACAAAAAGAATAAGAAACTTATGGTAAAAAACAAGCTATAAAATTTTAAACAAAAAGAATAAGAAACTTATGGTAAAAAACAAGCTATAAAATTTTAAACCATGAAAAGATTTCACAATTTACAGCAAAAAATTACGATTTTTATGGTAAAAAACAAACACCTCACATACTGAATCTGGATTCACTGCAGTGAATCTAGATTCACTTATGCGTGTCTTCGTTTTTCAACTGGTTTCTTCAAAAAACAAAAAACTTTTCAGACTAAAAGGTAAAATATTTCACCTTTTACAACAAAAAGCTACAATCTTTAAGGTTAAAACTAAAACTTTTAGACGAAAAATCAAACAAATTTTATAAACTTACCATTAAAGCGTCAAAATAATTTAACAGCCCACTGAATCATGAAGACGAAGGTTGAAGAAGACCGTGAAGACGAAGCGTCAAAATAATTTCATATATATATATATATATATATATATATATATATGTATATGTGTGTGTGTGTATATATGTATATGTATATATACATGTATATATATACATATACATATACACACACACATATATATGAGAAATATCAGTATGCTTGGTACCAAGCACAAATTTTGTGCTTGGTAGTGAGGTGTCATATTCTCCTCCACTCATTCAAATAGGGGGACCACATTCACATGGGTTGGGGAGTGCACGAGAATATGCCACCATTTGAATGAGTGGATGGGAATGAGACACCTCACTATCAAGCATAAAATTTATGTTTGGTACCAAGCATACCCATTTTTCTCATGTGTGTGTGTGTGTGTGTATATATATATATATATATATATATATATAGAGAGAGAGAGAGAGCAAGACTCCTATCAACTTAAGTGGATAGGGAATAGTTGTCCACCAAACTTTCTATCCACACACATATATATATAAAAAGTCACTTCATATCATGCAAGGATCCCTAGGAAACATCTAATGGTTAAGAAGTTTGGTGGATGTCAACTTAAGTTGACACAAGTTTTCTTCTCTCTCTCTCTCTCTCTCTCTCTATATATATATATATATATATATATATATATATATATATATATATATATATATATATATATATATATATATATATATATATATATATATATATATATATATATATATATATATATATATATATATATATATATATATATATATATATATATATATATATATATATATATATATATATATATATATATATATATATATATATATAGATATATATATAGAGAGAGAGAGAGAGAGAAACTTATGTCAACTTAAGTGGATGTCCACTAAGTTTCTTAGTCATTGATGATCACTTGATTGAGCTACATTGTGGATGATCC